TTTTCTTATTTCTACTGTATTTCCAATCCTAAAATGTGTCATCAGTAGAATATTCCCGTACATTAAGATGAATTCCTGAACTAGTCTTGAATTTTCATTTAATATTGTTACATGGTTGCCAGTCATGTTTTCTACCTTTCGCTATTTTTCTTATTTATATTTTATGTTTTATAGATTAACTGTTATATTTTGTATGGACATATTTCATTGGTGAATGTAAAAAGTGTAGTGATAGTGAAATGCTTAAAATTTATATAATTTGGGTAATTCCAAGGCAGCAGCGGCCATAATGAAAATAAATAAAAAATTTTAATTCCTTTCTGAAATTTCTATTTTTTTGTGGTGGTGCTAATTCCTTTCTGAAATTTCTATTTTTTTGTGGTGGTGCTAAATCACCAAAAACAACATTTTTTTTTTATTCGACATCATCATTATCAGCAGACGGCGGGTGGGTAAACAAGATAAAAGCATCGCCTAAGACTAATCGCGAATACAGTAAATTTTAACATCTTTTCTATTTGTCTTGTGAAAGACATTACCACCTCTGAATAGGCCAGTGATTAAATTTAGTACTGGTATTAGTAATCATTATATCCGACTAAAAATAGTGACAAAATAATAATTTACTAAATCATTATCAAATTACAATACTATTAATATCTATAATAATCAAGTACAAAATATGTTTGCAGACGTATGTCCCACAAGGGGCAATGTGCATATAAAATAAAGTAGATGTACAAAGATATTAACACTTTTTTTTAGTAGTACTACTACTACTGTATTAATAATATCTATAATAATCAAGTAAAAAATATGTTAGTAGCCCTATGTCCCAGAAGGGACATTTGTGTAGTAGTAAGTACAAAGATATTAATAATAATTTTTTTTTTTTTAAATTTTAAGATTTTTTTTTTATCTGAACACAAACTGTACTTTATCATTATTAAATTGTTTGAATTTAATTTAATAAAATATAATAATATCTATATATTATTTGTAATTTCTCTCCATTTTTTTCTCCTGATTTCAGCTATTGTACTTTGAAAAGTAATACTATATAGCCATTATCATTACTATGATTTGCCTTCACCATTATGTCTATTAAGTTGCAGGCCAATCATATATTTGGTACTCAAAATCCGACACACAAAAAAAATCAACGTGACATTTGAGAAACGTACATTTCATCACAAAAATCTAGCATCACTATCTTCAATTCAATGGGAATGTGTTTTAAAAACAAAATAAAATGAGTCTATTAATATCATACAGTTGAAAAAATAAAGAATTTTCCTCAATTATTTCAATGGAGAGTGTACGCTGTCTCCCAGCATCAGAAACTGATTAACAGGTGCCTTAGTAGTATTTCAATGTAATTCTAAGAGAAGTTTTGTGTGATTATTATCAGATTATTATTATTATTGGAATTCAATTTTGACACAGAAGCTTGTCTGAACCAGAGGGTGCTATTCCACAAAGCTATGTTACCATTGTTAAATATCAAAATAAAACTAGAAAGCAAAAGAACAACAAAAACTTTAGATTTTCACTGTTAAAAGTGTGAAGAAACCTAGAACTGTCATTCAATATGCCAGATGATTTAAAATCAATTTAAATTTATTCAAGCGACCCCAACACGAGCAGTTTAGCTCAGTCAGCTAAACAGGTGGTAGCCCCTGAGTGTGCGCTGAACCGTGGAGATCTCTTGGTCCCCGGTTTAATTCCCATCGCTGCTGAAATGCAAGTTACGGTAGCGCAACATCTTTCAGATGAGACGTTTATGCTGTTGGTTCCGTGTGCATTTATGGCCAATACGCACATTAAAGAACGCAGTACACTCTTCGGAAAAGATTGGGGGATTGTCTCCCGGTGTACTCAATCACCACCAGAAGGACCCCACTGGAAATAAGTCTTCTTGGGTTATCATCGGCTTTTACACCGAATAAATACAATCCAATGGCAAAAGTGAGACAAAAATTCACAACAAGTGTGAAAATAGCTAAAAATATTCATGAAAATTATTATTGCTGAAAAAAATTCATTCTACCAATTGTGTCATATTCATAACCTTGTACAGCTGAAGAATACCCCCTGAGCTGCTTTTCTATGATTAAACAAAAGTGTTGTTATTATTAAAGACATTAATAGTTTTTAGATATATCAAATTATTTTTAATGGGAAAATCCAAGGTTCATTTGGCAGAGTAACACAATTGGTAATTAGATGGAGGTACATCATCATCAGTGATGAAGGTGTTATTTCATTTTCTTCCTGTAGTTGCTCTGGTAACGTCCACCCCACCCCCTTTGAACAGAAAATTGGGTCAGATTTTGGAGGTTGATTTATCCACAATTTAATAACATAGAAATTTATTTCTGCACTGTATGCCTAATTCAAAGCCAATTTGTGATATTTTCTGAGAATATTTGTAAAACTCATTCCCTGGGTACTCTAGTTCTTTTGTCCGAGGAAAGACTGGTACATAAAATTGGGCATAAAAGGGGTTGGGCTTATTTATACCCAAGGTGGGCTTCTACACAAGGAACTATGTTACATGAATCTGGAATGTTGTCTATGGTAGATGACTAATTTAATAATACAGAATATTTCTTTGTATTATATGGTTCAGTAGTGTAAGAAAGACAGATTACAGTATGTGTTCATTTTCAAGTGCATTTTTATTATTTCTAGAATTTAGATCCATTACGATATGAATTCAAGGTGTATTTGTGCATGCTATAAAATTTCTCAGAATTCCAAGAAATTTGATCTGCAAAACATAAAAATTGAATGTGCATATCGTAAAGATGCTTCACTAAAATACTTAGAATTGTGAATATTATGTGCATTCTAAACATTTTTAAAAATCTAGAATAGCAATGCATTAGCAGAAATAATGTTCTAATGAAAGTGCTGAAGAAAAATTCTTGGAAGCTACAATGTGGTACTTTATTCAAGAGTAGAGCTTAAAGATCAGCGCTTATTGTGCATTATTTTTGCTGCATGTGATTATGCCCCAGAATTTTGATCTACACATAAACCAGCATTAAATTGAATGTGCATATATCGTAAAGATGTTATTACTAAAATACTCAGAATTGTGAATATTATGTGCATTCTACATATTTCTAAAAAAACTAGAATTCCACAGGGAGCACGAGTATACTGCAGAACATAGGCTTAGCCAGCGAGCCGTCCGGCCATCCGGCCGTCTTACAATTATTTAGGATGGCCACTTTTACCGTGACGGCTTAATCAGCTCGGCCTAGCGTAATTGGGCCTGGTCTACCTTTAGAAAATTCTTTATATTCTTTAAATCTATCGAGTGTTAAATTAAACTAAAGCTAAATCATATTTATGTTTAATAAAAACAACATTTATTGATTGAATGTACGTTGTTTTCGTACCAATATTCAGTGGGGATTCCCAAAGATGGGCGAATTACTTCAGAATGAATAAATAAAAAAATAAAAACTGAGTAAACTTCATGATGTCCATTTTCAAATCTGTTATGAAATGCTTTTGTAATGCTGTATTAGCTGAATGAAATATAAAATGAAATGCAATCCTTCAGAATTTTTAGTACTGTAACAGGTCATTACCATAAACTGCACACATCCAAACTTTAATACACAGTCATATATATAATCTAACTTGATAGCTAATAATGTGAATATCCACAGAGAAAATTATATTGGTTTAGCAGAATGCGGCTTCAACAAGATTAAATAGTACTTGTACGTACTATTCTGAATATGCTATCTGAATATCAGTGGATAAAACGTGTGACCAAATTGTATAATGTTTTCTAAATATTGATATTTATGAATTTTGCTCATCTTTTAAAATTTTAATCATATTTTTGATATTTTCACTACTTTTATTGTTATATTACTCATAATTTTATGCTATTTATATGCATGATTTTAATTTATTGATTATTATGAATGCTGTTTTTTTTCATGTTTTCAATCCTATTTTTGATGTTTTATACTGTATATTCTTGACAGCTTAACGTTTTTTTGCTGATATTATTCTAATTAAATTTGATTGAATTGTAAATTGGTAGTCCAATTCAACTCAAATCTTTGATATTTTACTAATGGTAAATAAGTAAATATAAAATAAAGAAGCTCAATATTGATATTTTAGAATTTTGACTAAATGGAATCAATTGATGGAGTTGTTTATATACCATTTGAGGAACAGATAGTATAAGGTTATTAGAATACACATGATGATTTCACAAGCTTGTCTAGGAAATTATATAGATTAAAAGTCAAAGTTCATAAATCGTAAAAAATTATACATACTATTTTGAAATACTGAACATAAATATTTAACAGTTCTAAAGAGAACTATGTGTTGAGAACAGCTCTATTCAAAAGTCAAGATATTCTTAGTACATTGATCAGGTTTTTTTCCAGAACTATTCAAATGATGTACCACAAGTTTATATTATAAGTTTATTAATTTATCAAGATATTAACACTCATCAGTAAGAACGATGGATGGACACCCTGACGGAGAACACTACCTTCTCTGAAGCCGGTCACTCACTGCGTCATGCAGCAATCGTACGAAGAATTAGAATCTAACTTCGCTCCCTGTGAGCAGTGGACGACGCGACACTGTCTGCTGATTGTCGGTGGCGCTTGGAACAGATCATCATTAAAAACGATCTGTTGTGCGCGCACTCTCTCGTTGCTTTCTTCATAGAATCGTGTTTCCTGGCGCAATGAGTGTCTGACAAAGTCAGGTACACTCCAATCCGTCTTCGCTCTCCTTGATAATTGGTGGCAGTCTGAGCCGATTGCCGCTAAAAGCAATCTTTTGCACGTTCTTTTCGCGCTGCATTTTCCATGAAATAATATCAGATGACAATCTTTGGAACAATGTGTCCTTGGCATAACCACTTCCTCCATCTATAAAACATTCCCCCTCCCCACTCATTCAAGTTGAAAGTTACTCACGTGTGCAAAAAGAACGTAACTCACCTGTGCAAAAACTGTGTCCGCACACTAATATACGTGGTACCGCCTTGCCTTTGCAGGAGAAGCGATGGTAGCATATTGCACAATAGCGCCCTCTATGGTCATCCATGTTCGAGTCAATGCTCATCGTGCTGTTACTGATATCCGACTTAGCTTCAGCCATGATATCAATCCCACACAATTTGTAGACACGCCTATTCCACCTCCCTAAGTTGGTGAAAAAAAATAAAGATAAGAAAGTTGTAGTGAATAAGATTCCCCAAGAATCAGGGTTGTAGCTGTGGAAAATTAAGAGTGGGTGACAAAAATTTTTGAGGGTGCATGGGTGATAACATTGGTAAACTCTAAATAATATGAGTGGATTTTAAGGATGAGAAAGTGGTTTAATAACCTGGATGGGTGGAGGGCCATGAAATTAGCTTTAGGCTGGGTGAAAACTTCAAGGCTAGGTGGCCCTGCCACCATACCTACATTCCCAAGAATATTAATATAGACTTTACCAATTACTGGTCTGCTTCTAGTTAAAGACCCCTGCATTAAAGACCACTTTTCTGTGGTCCCATATTAACAAATTTCTTTTATCTTTATTATTCTGATTACAGTAGAGACTGCAAAAGACCATAGAAACACCAGTCCCAAAAGTGACCTGTACTATAAATAAAAGAATGTCAAATAAAAATCATTTCTGTGATTGTTACAAATCTTGACAAATTTCATGTTTAGCTATGGTGGGCTTATACCATCCAGTAACTACTACAATCTAAAAACTATTTTAGATTTTTCCTGGTAGGTTAATTAAATGGAAGATATAATTTAACACTTACAGAAACAAAGGAAGCATAATCCATGGAGAGCCGCTTGCAATATGATATATCTCATACAATATTCAAAGCCAATAAAAGCATTAATAATCCCTGGTTAAAGGCCATCTGCCAACTGATATTCTAATTAACAGTTAAACGGCTGTTAGAATTCATCTAAGAATATGCTAGGCATTTTTAAGTGCATATTCTGATCTAGGGTCAATATCTTTTCTCAGATCTATTTCATCATCTCTTTAAAAACATACTGTTTGCGGCAAAATTTGTAAAAATGTGCAAAAAAATCATTTATGAATATTATGAATATTGCCAATTTAAAGCCACCCCTGTCCATGCTATCAAATTTTGACATACCTAAATATGGTCATGATGATATCACATCATCACCATATATAGGCACATCATGACTATACATGGGCATATAGCAGTTTCTTGGAAATTTGATTTCTTGGAATTTGTCAACTGTGAATGAGACATAGAACCAAACAATTCTGCACTTCATAGAATGTTCATAGCAAAAATCCGTAAATATTATTACCAGCTGATTCAATGGCAGTCTAAGCATAGAATAGAATGCTATTCTTTTTTGGTGCTTATTAGTTGATAAGAATATAGACTTCATATTTTAAAGCACTGTGTTTGATAGAACAAATCTGTGTTTGATAGAACAGATTAGTTAAAACAACCACTACATCTGAAGGCCTATTTCAGTGGTGGATCCAGGAATTTGAAATAGACACGAACCAGAATGCCAATTCTACAGACCTAGGGTTCAGACCGCTTCAGACCAACTATGGTTGGAGCTAAGGTAAGAAATTTTGTTCATGGCACTACTATAAGGAAATGGTACTCGGATTAAATATTTTATTATCATTTTCTTTTTGTTTGATAAAATTAGGAGGCCCGGTCCAACTGATTCCACTTAAATTTATGTGTACTATAACACTGCCATTGATTAATTTCTATTCAGACATCAATTAGCTAACGGTGAAAAAAAAACGTCAGTTCTTATATTCTCCACTGAAAGAAAGCTAGTATAACTTTAAATTCTATTCTTTAAGGTAATTTACTCTGTCCATGTTTTATGTGAAAAAATAAATGTGATTTGCCCATATAGTATGGACATGCTAAAATCACATAACACCCACATGAGCGAATCATCAATATTTGCCACATAAAAATGACAGTGAGAGTAGCTTATCGGTGTATCCTTAAACTGACCCACATCCATTCTTACACATTACAAATATAATCATCCTTTGTTCTTCATTCTTCATTGGCTGTGATGCATTAACATTTTGTTTTCTTTTGGAATGGACTGTAAACTAATTTTTTATCGTTATTAATATTTAATAAGCTATGACAAGCTCAGAGACAAGCCAAGTATATTCCTGGTTGGGTTAATCACTTGTGAATTTTAACTCGCAAATATTTGGGGACGTAGTGAGCATTCGGTATAACAACACATCAAGTAGAGCAAAAACTCATTTTCCTGATGCAAACTTACATAGGAAATGGCATTTGCAGTACCCACTGATACTTAGGGATCAGATTCAACACTAGTCTGTATGTGCAAACTTGGTAGTCTAGTGGTTATGGCGTCAGATCTGAAGGTTATGGGTTTGATTCCCACCCGAATGACTTGCTTCAGGTAGGACAAAACAACACTCTTATGATATTTTCCTGATGCAAACTGACATCGGAAATACAAATACAGTTATAAAAAATATCCCAAAAAACTTAAATAAAAAAAATTACGAAGATTTCAGCGACTTCTGCAAAGAATAATTTTCATAATTAGAGCAGATCAGAGAGGCTTTTGATAAATTTTGTATAAAATGCATTAAATAAAAGTCGATAACTAGTTGAAGATATTTGTGGCAAAGACAAGCCAAACCAGTCACTCATCACAAAAATCAATAATTTAGTTATTAACACAGAGTTAAACAGTAAAATGACAGCTAAAAAAAAATGATAAAAGAATCACTGAATTCTGACATTTCCTTATGAAATTACAAGCGTTTAAACATACAGCTGTTTAAAGAACAATATTTGAAAAATCAGCCTTCAAAGTTTGATTTCAGGCATTTCTCAGGCAGAAACCATCAACAGATTTTTAAAAATTGTTGTTTTAACATTGAAAATGGAAAAAATAACAGCCATGATGAATAGATATATAAAGGTTAGTTTAGTGCAATAAAATAGATTTCAAAAATTTTGACATTTCAGCATGTTTTGACTAATATCTCCAAAAAACGTTTTGTGACGAGTGACTGGTTTGACTTGTCTTTGCCACATTTGTAAGTTAGCCTCCAATCTGCATTTAAGTAGACACTTTTAGCAGAAAATAAAAAATGATCATAAAATAATTCCCTGATCAAAAATGAACAAAATCTATAATTTACTTAATTAATTTCTCCTTTTAAAAACACGAAACTAAATTACCATATATGGTTACTTGAATTAATAACAGAAAACTAATAATTATGACCAATAATTTGTTATTAGTATCATTGTTAAATGTACTTACGGCAGCTAAGCATCCAAAACCTTCTCATGGTAAAAACCAAACAGCAAAAACAAACATGAAATGCAAGGGAAAGCTTATATCACACTGGCCACTATATATTTTAATCTAGTTTCTCTAAATGCAACTAGTTATAAATCAACTCACTCTTACATTTAATCCTATAACCATGGAGAACAGATTGATCAACACTAATAAAATTATATTAATAAAATTCAAACATTTTTAAATCACTGTTAGTACAAAAAAAAAAATTTATCAGAATTAAAAATGAAAGAATATTACTTGATAAAAATTTTCTAAATAAAGATGAATGAAGGTAAAAATGGATGATTAACACAATTCTGTTTTTGCGTGGCCTACAACTGTACAATTTGTTCATCTTGTATTGTCACACAACTGCAGGCGTCATATAAATATTTATTAGTATATAATTAATTACAATAGGACAAGATGAAAACTGAAAACAGGAATTTATTTAAATAATATGAATTATTTCAGAGTGAAGGTTGATAAACTTTGTATCGCTAACCACAGGAATAAAAACATATTAACCAAGGAAATTTTTTTGGTATGTTACCAGTCTTCAACTACTGTACATATCATGGGATTTATTATTTAATTTATTAATGCTTCAATCAGGGCTGGAAAAAGTGCGCGAAAGCGCAACATGCGGCTGGATGCATTTCAGAATTTTTTTTTTTTTTTTGCACATCACAATTTAATGCATAAATAAAATACTTTTGCTTGCTCCAAACCAAAATTTACTAATGTTTCGCTATAATAGTGTAAAGATAACATTTGGTCCTGGAGGCCTTTGATCGAGATAATCTTTATTGTCGGAGGCACAAAAAATATTTTACCAGGCCTGGCTTTAATATAAATATCAGTATAAACATAGTTTTTTTTTGCAAATTCTAATACAAATTATTTTAAATGAATGGTGAATGAATACTGTAGATGGAAAAATTAATGAATACTGATTTAACAAGAAACACGAACAGAGAAAAAAAATGAATGAAATGGATGAAGGAAATAATGGATAGACAAATGAATGAAGAAACAGATGGATAGATGGATAAAAATTTAATTATTAATGTTTAAAAATTAAATATTAACACATTATTGAATAAAAATAAATAATTGAGATGAACAAATGAATATAATGGATGAAGGAATGAATTGATAGATGAAAGAATTGAGGAACAGATGGATAGATGGATACAAATTTCATCATTAAAGAATAAATAAAAACAAAACAATTAAAAGCATGAGTTTTATGTGAATGAATTGATCAATCAATCAATCAATCAATCAACTAATGGACTCCAGCACCTTCACTTTAACACTGAATATTATACTGAAAGCTATCAAATCCATCACTGAACTCTAGAAAAAAATTCAAAATGTTAATATTTAAAAAAAAACTATAATTAGAATAATAATAATAAAGCAACATTTATAAATAATAAAGTAACTACAGAAAAAAATCAAAGGAACTAAATATGTTAGATATCTTCTTTTTTTGATGTTTTGATATAAACATTTTTGATGATTAAATAACTTAATTTAGCTTCAAGTCTAACACTGTTGATGAACATTGTTGTTTAAGTGTGACAATGTTGATGTCAAGAAATATTCGAAGACAATTTTAGTAAAGAAATTATTATACACGCACACTACTTGATTGCAACATGTAGCATATTGAAAGTAAATATTTAATTACACTAAACATTTCCAAAATATGCTTTGGATATTGACAAATATATTTAAATTAACTAATATTAAATATTAAAAATTTATTTGATTGTCATCATTACGTCAAAAAAAAAATTCTGTTAGCCATGCCCAACCGACCCAAAAAATCGAAATTGAGAGTCATTTTATTTATTTATTTTTTTGACTACATTGAAAAAAAAATTTAATTAGCTACTGTAAAAAGGTTGAAATAGGCCTATTCTTGAGAAGGCTGGCGATGCGACAGCGTTTATGCAATCATTTTGCTCTTTAATAGCAATTTAAAAATGGTCTTTGTTGTATTATTGTGTATTTTCTACTTTTTAGGCATAAACTCATTATTGGTAAAAATTTTTAAAAATCTTTTAAATTAAAAAAAACTTTTCCTACCGACCTACCCATTTATTAGATTTTCCCAAAACATGGCCAACAAAAGAATTTTTTTTTTATTGGCCTTACTGTATGTAACATTAAGTGGATTCACCATTAATGCATGTAATAATAGTAAGACTGTGTTTGCATTATACAAATTTTTAATTTTATGTACAAAAACCTATTTTTATTATAAAAGAGGATTGTATTGTCTATAAATTTGTTTCGTGTAATATGTTGTTTCTAGCTGACGGAAATCATCTTCAAATAATTCGATTACAACTATTTAGTCTCTTAGCTGATGTTGTGTGTATGAATGGCATCATGCATGAACGAGTCCAATTAATTTGCTTTACTGTTTATAATAGGAAATAGCACACATCGATTACAACAATTTCAAACCAAATTTTGATGCTTGTAAAGCATCCTTCCACTATGTATCAATTATATATTATTTACATTACAAAATTTATTGGACTTCACACTGTCAATACAGAGATGCAAAAATAATTTTTAAAATGAAGATAAAGAAGTGAGTGAGTAAATATTCGAATAGTTTAATCTGGTTTGCTTTAAAAATACAATGATTGCAGAACTGTTTAATCAATAATAAACAAAGCAAAATATGTTGATCATCGATGTGGGACAGCTTGTATGCCCCATCGTCTCTGTTCATCGTCTGTTTTCAGGCCCGTGGCGTGACTTAATTTGTGGGAGGTTCGTTTCAGTGGACACTTTGGAAACCATTATACAATAACGTAATATTGTTAGCTAGGAAACCTGAAGAAATGCCGACTTGAAATACTTCTGGCTTGTATGATCTCCGATACTCTGGAGAACATTGTAAATATATCTACAAATATAAATTTTTCGTTTTTAAATGCCGACCTTCTCCAGTTTTTAGGCGGTTCGTCGTAAGCCCCCTTAACCCCCCCCCCCCCCACACGCTATGGGCCTGGTTTTTGTTTCCTTATTGATACTGCCTCCATGATTGTTCATTTGTCCCATGTTTATTCCGTTGTGACCCCACCCCCCCAAACCAATCCTGACAGGAACAGAACTAGCACTAGAGGGCACTGTTCAAATAATGCCCAAACAATAGATGCTGGCTTGACGAAGTCATGTTGACTCCTATTTTTACTAATGTTATCACCAACCCACTCTTAAAATGTCTACCACCGATCCTTAGTTTTCTACAGCTACAACCCTTGTATACCCAGGTATACCCTGGGCCTTTGTCTCTAAAAAAAGTTCTAATATAAAAAATAACTTAAAATTTGGTAATAATTACAGTTCAATAGCATAACTCAACTTACCGGGATTGTATCATAAACACCTAGAGGTACTATATGGATACACAACACTTCTCTTCACCCTCAACAACACCGAATTAAAACACAACGTGAACTGGAGTTTCATCGAAAGCGTGAAGATGCTAAAGATGGTGATAAGCAGCAGCCAATGGCGCCAGTTCCCACAGCTCTCTGAGGAGGAAGATGATGGAAGGATTAGATTGATGTAATTAAGGCTGATTCTACTGTACTCCACAAGTAATTCACTGATAATTCTCCATGGAGGACACTTGGAAAATTATGTTATAACAGATGGAGAGGACAAAGAATTCATGGGAAGAGGAACAGCTGCGAGTTGTAGGCGGGCATAAAAAAGTTTTTTTTTTAGTTTTTTTTTTCTCCTGCCACCAAAATTAACATATTAATTCACAATGCTTGCAATTAAGCCTGTCTCACTATTTGTTTTTTAAATGGTATTCATCAGACTGAATAAAAATAATCCATCGATATTTTGCAAATTTAGGCATAGAATGGTGATACCTTACATCAGACACCAAATTTAGAAAACTTTCATGTGCAAAATGAAGAAAAATAAAGATCACCTTTTAAAATTTGTGAACAAAAAATAATTAAAAAAAAATAACTTTTTTAAAAAACCACGCCCCTATTTTTCCATGAGCTAGGGGCGGACACTGGAGGGCAAACAAACAATTTGTTTTTAGGCCTTATCATCAGCCTTAAACTTCATTATCATTGTCACTATCACCACTACGATCAATGCCATTATCAAAATAAATGTCAATCTCCAGTATTTACAGTTTTTTTATTTGTATTTAAATGACTTGTTTTTACTTTGCACTTTATGTATTGCATATAGAGAGGAATCAAATAAATTTAATTTCATTCAATACCAAAACACATCATTGTTGTGATTCAATTTAATTCAATACCACATTGTTGTGTTCGTTGTTTAATTGGGGCTTAAGACCTCCCTCTGTAACCATTTAACTTTGTTCCACCTTCTGGCATTTACTCCTGTTGTAATTAAACTTTTTTTAAACGGTATAATTAAATCAGGAAGTTGTAAATCTTATAATTATCTATACAGTGGGAACTTTTGTAGCATGACAATTGTTGAATAATCAGCAAATTGCAGCATATAGTTCCAGTCAGCTAAACTGGTTGTAGCCACTATGGTTCAATTGCTATCACTCCTCTCTGTGTTTCAGCTGCAGGACTGAAATATGATTTAAAAAGTTTCCAATATAAGAACCAGGGGTCCCGAGTTGGATGAAGTAGCATCAGCAGGGGTGGCAAAAATGGTGGGGTACTAGCCCCCTCCCGGGGAGAAAAACCACAATATATGTACTGTATTTTCTACATATTGTAGACTCTAAAATCGATTAAAGAAGCCTTTGAAACTTTTATGGGCTTCGCCCCTGGACCACTTTCGATATATTTTGAGCAACTCAACGCAGTACACACTTTGGGAAAGAGTAGGGCGTTGTCTCCTGCCCAATCACGACTTTTCGTGGGTAACCAAATAAATCCATATCAATCCAATCTATGGTACAGAACAACAGTAGTAAAAGTAGAATATTATTTATCAACTTACAAAGTGTAGATAAAAAACATAAATCTGGTTTATAAGAAATTACATAATAATAAAAAATAATATACAATTATTTATAAAGATGATTTTAAGGTCCAAAAAATGAAAATATTTTTACCAAGGAACCAAAAACATTGGTATGTTGCCTTAGGCCACTTTTTAAGCTTTAACTAATTAAATTATGATTATTTAAAATGTGGTGTTTTTTTTATGGTGGGTATGAATATTTAGAGCATAAACCTATGGTTGTCATATTAAGGGAAAACAAGATTATTGTTGCCCAATTACTGACATTTGGAAATCAAGTTGTTCAGTTGGTTTTTTTCTTTATACTATAAGATGCAAAATTTAGGCTTCATTGTCAGTTTTGTTAATGGTAACCATAGGACTAAATTCAACTGTTAAATCATCTTTATAAATAATTGTATATTATTTTAATTATTATGTAATTTCTTATAATAATAATAATAATTATAATAATAATGTAATGCCAAATATTGATATAATAATAATAATAATGATAATAACATTAACAATAATAATAATAATAACAATAATATGCAAGTTTTTATACAGCGCTCTATACAACTCAAGTCTCAGAGCGGTTTTCCACATTATTACCACAGTCATTGGAATGATTCCTATGGGGGGAATTCCATAGTTTGCTGCATGAAATATATCAGCGCATTTTGCACTCAAACCTCCTTAATTACCCACTTATAACTCCTGGGTGGAGAGAAGCAATGCTCAAGGACACACAAACAAGCAAAAGATCTCGAGGGTTGGGAAACCAAACCATTCCAGCTACGGCAAACCACTGCCACAAATATATAGCACCGATTCCAAATTCCAAATCAATGATGAAAGCACATAACTCCTGGTCACTGGATAACATACAACGGCAAACCAACAAAAGGACAACCTTCTCTCCTCCCTGAGGAGTATACCTAGCCATGCATGTGTATGCAGCACAAAGAACTTATACAATTAATGCCACAACATCAAACCAGGTACCCATTTATACCCCTGAGTAGAGAAAGATAAATGTAGATAAAGTGCCTTGCCCAAGGGCACAAACGACTTGCTTAGCAACAGTTTCAAACGCCTGATCTCAAGATTGGGAGTCCAAGCCACAACCGACGCGCCAACCGCTTCTATAACAAATATCCTACTCTAAGCATACCGTATAAAATCACATTAACCAGCTATTGCAGTAACCAATTTAACAGCTTTAACCAGAGATGCCATTTAACCAGCAATTAACCACAGTTTCAAATTGTCCATTTGATGGAATGGGGACATTCTACTGTGTGACATCAGACATCAAGACGTCATCCGTATTTAAACCCAGTGTCCAGTCTACCGGATCTAAAAATCAACACCGAACATTAGTCCTTTGAGGCCTAAACGTAGAGTCTCTGTGTTAATCATGTCATATGGCCCCATTTGTCGTGAAGTTCAGCAGGAGAAATAGGCGCACAAATAAGTAGGTATCAACAGCAATGTATGGCAATGTACAGTAAGATGCATTATGTAAAATATTAAATTAATGCCTTAAACCCACAGCATATTGTTGTGTTAAATTTTTTATACAATTTTTCACCTCTCAAGTCAAAGTAAAGCCAGTTTTCCTATCAACAATATTTGATGCTTTTTCTTCTTCTTTCAAGTGCCATACGTGATACACGCTTCCAATACTGGCAATCTCTCGCCCAATTGATAATGACTTTGTGTAGCATTTAAAGCTTTTAATTTGGTCCAAAAACATAATTTTGCTGCCTTTTCTCTTGCTTGTTTTTTTCTCATTTTTCCCTTGTAAATCTAAAAATTGTACAGACGCTAATCGTTAAAATAATCAGCAATATTTAACATTAAACCTAAAATATTAACAATAGAAAAACAGTTTGCTTTTGAGGTTATTCCAATCGCTCACAAACGATGGTGAAAGTTTAATCCAAAATGGGTGGGTGCATATACAACGACTGCTAGTAAAAATATCTAGGAATTTATAAAGCGTGGACAAACAGTTGTTTTACATAAACTTATTAAATTTTTTGAATCATAGTGAAAAATTAGAAAGTTTGTAAAGGGAGGGGAGTGCACAAGTATTTTTTGGGGGTATGTCCCCCTACTAAATATGCCAATGGATGTAAATATCATTGCCTCCTTTAAAATCAGCTGGCAAAGTCACACATATCACTATGTGGTGCAATAATATACAATAAGATGTGTTAATAATAATAATACTCGTTAAACCAGACCTCCCAGATGTATCTTCTACCATCTTGGGGACTCTGTAATTAAATGGACTGAAAAAATGCATAATGATAGACCTCCTGTAAGTTCAATAGTTCATATCAATCACAACTGACTTAAGGCTAACTCAAAAATTGTTTTATTTCTTCTACTGAATTCTATAACGAGATTTAATTATAGTTCTTGAAATAAAAATCGCTGAGCTGCAGATACATTATCATTCCAACACTAGGCAAGTACATTTCCAGGTCAGTGCTATTCCCAAGTGAATCTTCATATTTCACTGTGTCATTTTCTTATTACTATTGTATTACCCTCAGATAAAGATGGCTCCAGGCCAGGGCAGCAACAAAATTCCATGTGTGAAAATCACACGCGAGGATATCCACACGTGAGAGATTCCACACGTTCATGTGTACTCTAACAGAATAACAATGATAGTTTCCAACCAACAATTAATTATCAACAGTAATTTTCTCTTGCAGATTTAATTCCTATTCAAACAAATACGATAAAATACTTTACATAAAACTCTTTTGCCTTTAAATAATGCAAAAAGTATACAAACACAATATTAACAATGTGCAAGAAATAACATGAAGGAGGGCTACCACTCAACAGTCTTACTGTACCCAAAGAACGGCCATTTAGATCACCAAGCGGAAAAAAACAAAACTAGACCCTAGAATAGACGAATTTCATGATGGGAGCCACATGACCTACTGTGGGTAAACACACTGGGCCGGCGAGATGTAAGCGAGAATTCCTGCAGTTTCTTTCATTAATGGTGGTTGCTAAATCTTTCTGTTGTAAAGAAATAATGTTGGTTGGAACACCAATAAAATTAAAATACACCAGATTGAATGGAAATTGAACTTGAGAATGTTGCCATAGTTGTTTGCTAAATGCTCGAAAAAGATACTGACCCCAAATATTGATTTTTTAAAGAATGTTATGCCTAGGGAACTGCATCTGTGGACAGTTTAGGTATGCATGAGAGTCTTCTCTGCAAACTGTGAGTGGGACACGGTACGAATGTTAGGCTAGCTCGAAGTCACAAAGGATTTACGAAAATTGCAAAGCCTTAAATGCATAGAGAATGCCAGAACATAGTTAGCCCAAAAAAAAAAAATTTAATCTTGTGTTCACTGTTAGCCCCGTTTTGTGAAAATTTAAATTCGGTAGGACCCTTAATTTCGAACAAACAAAGTGTTTCTTACCTAAAATTGGATTATTGTACAAGGTCTGTCTGACCCCAAAAAGAGGTCATTCATCTATCCATTAGTGAGCCTAGCTAGTTCTATTCCACTTCCCAGCTTAATTACAGGCAGACTACTATTTGATGTTGTTACATTAACACCAAAAATGTGGGAATGAAATAGCAAATTCTGTGTCAATTACCATCTAAAATGCATCAATACAACAATTGACAACAACTCTGTTTACTGATCCATTTAAAACATTGTAAATGTAGTGGACTGTGTTAAATTACTTCAAATATCCCATAAATAAAACAATGGTATTCTTACAGTGAGTGGAGTCAGTGGGCATCTGTTGGGAATTCTACAGTCCTTTGCATTTTCTGAATGTAGGTTATTGTCTCATTTCACAGCTTCTGAATTTTTCTTGTTTGTATTGTTCTTTATTATGATTCTGAATCAGATGTTTATTTTATCACGATTAATAGAAACAGATAGCGCTAGAGACAGTATAGTGACTGTCTCTTATACACATCTAGATGTGTATAAGAGACAGCGGTACGAATGCTAGGCTAGCTCAAAGTCACAAAGGATTTACGAAATTCCAAAGCCTTAAATGCACAGAGAATGCCAGAACATGGCAAAAAAAAAATAAATAAATTCTTGTGTTCACTGTTAGCCCCGTTTTGGGAAAATTTAAAAAACAGTTAGGTAGGTAGGACCTTTAATTTCGAACATTTTTTGTCGGTCAACACAATTATTTTTTTTTATTTAGCCTTATTTATATATTAACACTATTTTGAACACATTGCCTTTCCTTGCCATTAATTTCCCACGTTAACATTGGGTGATTCTTTTTACAACCATACAGTAACTAACGTTAGCTTTTCAAATACTTTTACACTTATCACACTGTAAGTTATACCCACAGTATAATTCATGTAACCATGGACAGATCTATGCATCATGAAATCCGTCCATTCAATGATTCTGGTGAGTGAAATGAAGCGTTCCGATTGGATAATCCATCAAGTCTCATCCATGCAACTAATTTCGTCCCAAAGAAAGCATATCAAGACGTGGGAGTCAAACCAATTGAAAGAAAAGTGAATTAATATTAGCAAATTACGATGGTGAATGCGTTCGCAACAGGCCGTGAATATCACATCCATGAAAATGGAAATAACACAATCATGCTATAACTATTTTTCCTTGGAGAATTCTATTTTCATACTATTATTTTCAGACTAAACTACAGTATACAGTACAGCAAGATGAACAAAATGACTATATACAAAATAAAGAAATTAAACTCTGTTAAGTTCTGCCTACACTATCAAATTTTACGTGACATATTTGTGTAATGTGCCCATATATGGGCATGATGATGTCATATAATTACATCCAAATATGGGAATACCAGTTTTTTGTCATATAAATTTTGATAGTGTGGACCAAACGTTATAAAAGAATGAGAGGTTACTTTAATTTCACTAAATGTGCATGCCAAGAGAAATTGATTTTATGCTTTTAACCACAAACAAATATCTATACAATATTTCAGGAACAAAATGTAGTCAGTATGTACACATCGCTAGCCAAGCAGTTAGGAAAAAACGGTGTTCCACCCCTTTCTGCCCCCACCCCCCTCAAAAGACCAGCAGTTGCACACTTCTTAAAAACTGCTTATATCTACTCATAGTTGTAGCATTGAAGGAAGCTTTACCAGTGGAGTATCTAGGGGATAAAAAAATTCCTCTCCCCAAACAAACCACCCTCCCCCCCTCCACCTGGGCACCATTAAAAGTCTTTGAAGCAAAAAAATCATGCGCAAGTAGAGAGATTAGAAATCACATCATTGCCACCTTATTTTGCGACCTATAGGTATATGCCACCTCCCGCCAACAACATAATCATCAAGTCCCGTCAATTCATCTTCACACCCCCTCCCATTTTAAGACTTCAAAATACGCTACTGTCTACCTGACAGTGGTAAAATTTGGAAAACCATTAAATTAAAAATTAAAAGGATCATATACATAAATTATCTATTTTCAAATGACAATCAAAATAGGTTTCCTTGATTTACAGACGTTTCACATAAAAATGCTGATATTAAAAGCAAATTTCAGGGTAAATGGAAAGGATATAGGAACAGTTTTAATAATTATTACTTGACAGAATAAATCCTAATTTTTACTAGCAATCTGGCTTCAAATTCCAATAACTTATACACTCTATTATTTTGTTGTCATCCTTATTTTAATCACACCTCACCTTATTAATCAGGGTCACAATTTCCAACAAAGTGTTTCTTACCTAAAATTGGATTATTGTACAAGGTCTGTCTGACCCCAAAAAGAGGTCATTCATTTATCCATTAGTGAGCCTAGCTAGTTCTATTCCACTTCCCAGCTTAATTACAGGCAGACTACTATTTGATGTTGTTACATTAACACCAAAAATGTGGGAATGAAATAGCAAATTCTGTGTCAATTACCATCTAAAATGCATCAATACAACAATTGACAACAACTCTGTTTACTGATCCATTTAAAACATTGTAAATGTAGTGGACTGTGTTAAATTACTTCAAATATCCCATAAATAAAACAATGGTATTCTTACAGTGAGTGGAGTCAGTGGGCATCTGTTGGGAATTCTACAGTCCTTTGCATTTTCTGAATGTAGGTTATTGTCTCATTTCACAGCTTCTGAATTTTTCTTGTTTGTATTGTTCTTTATTATGATTCTGAATCAGATGTTTATTTTATCACGAATAATAGAAACAGATAGCGCTAGAGACAGTATAGTGAAACATAAGCTTGTGTTCACACAGTACTCTTTAGGTAAAGAAAGAATTTGGATTCATTTAGATAACGGTCCAAAACGAATGGGTGCCATCACGATTGATAGAAACAGGCAGCGTTGGAGACTGTGAACATTACCCGAGACATAAGCTTGTGTTCACACAGTGTACTTTTCAATTGAAGGATGAGTACTGTTCAGTGACATATTGGCATTCGTTAGTGTAGATTTGTATCCACCGCATCAGATCCCAAATTTCGGGGTCGAAATCTCGTCTAAAATGTGCAGCCTGTACAGGAATACAGGAATATACGGGTACCAATAAAAATAGATATTGGAACAAGATTCTGTTAATTCATGGACCAATGTTGCTGTTTATTTCACCACGGGCGGTCCGCTTAATAGTGTGTCCTGCTGAGTTAATCCCATGATAATCCTTTGAACAAACGATGAGCTGATCATGTTAGTCATGTGCAACACGATTTTTTGCCCCAAAAGTTGGGTCGTATTTCTGGTATCCAATCATTTTGGTCACGCCTTCATTTCGGTCGCGTTATGTTCATTATGCATTTCAGTGCCAGTGTATGGTGCGCCGGCGGTGCAACCACAAATCTGGAACAAGGGAGCTAAGCAGTGTAGTATTTTTATAAACACAAAACTTACATAAAACATTAGTTGACTAACAATTATTTGTATTACTGCACTATGATATTATGTTTTATCATTATTAATATTACGTGTATAACTTGGTGTTATTTTTCTTTTTTTACAGAAACAACGAAAATGTTACAAAGTCGACTAAGTTTGAGAAAAGTTTCCCTTTAATGTTTGTTGCGATAAATATATTATTAATGCATAAATTGAATGGAGATTTATGAAATAAATATAGTCAATTAATAGATTAGTTTTTCATACATTTGTTTTCTTGTCTGTTACGTTTCCATTTATCCTGAATGTTCATGTTTATAATTTGATAAATGAGCATACTGAATGATATATGATGAATGAAAATGAAGGAAATATATAGTATTTTCATTTTTATTTTCCACATAAAATTTTCAATATATTTATAATTAAACACTGTATATTTTAATGGCCCTGATATAAAAGTATATTTGATTAAACAAATTAAATCATAATTGTAACAACATTCCTAGGCCTTTATTATGAATAATTCAGAAATTGATAAATACAATTATGTACTTGACTTTTCACTTCTGAATCTGAAAAAAAAGAACATGCTAAAATGATATTCTAATTACTTGTAATTATAAACAATCGTAAAAAAAACAATCATACTAAAAAAAAAATACAAACAATATTAGGCCTATGATAGTCAAGCATCATAAAAAAAAAGACAAAATAAATCAAATTAATACCCAGTCTGAAACACACGCACCAAAAACACTTTCCAAACATAAAGCACTAGTGCATACATCGGCGTTTCATACTTACTGAGGTTGTTTATCGTGACCGAAATGCATAACAACACGGCGCGACCGAAATGAAGGCGCGACCGAAATGATCTGTAGCTTTTCTGGGGATATGTAATAATGGTAGGCCTAAATGGTAATGTTATGGTGGAATATTTGTAGTGCGCCTTCAACAATAAAATCGTCTCAAGGCGCCGAAGAAAAGGATAATAGTAAATAAATTGTTGAAACAATCAATGCAACCAATAAATGGCAAAAACAAATGTAAATTTTTTATCTATTCTAGGGCCTAAATAGTTAAATTCTAGAGGAATTTTTAGTAATATATTTTTAAAAACTGAAATGGATCAAACTAACCTAGGCCATGGTTTCAAAGGCTAACATTCTTATTGACCGCTGCAAGTCTAGGCCTCGGCTCATACATAATCACTCAACCAGAAAAATGGAAAAAAGGAAAATGGACCAGCAAGTCACAGTGCAGGGCTAGATAGATAGTTGCTAGTGCCTAGCAGTACTCACGCTTTACCTTATCCCGGACCCAAGCCTAGCATATCAATGGAAATTAATCTAAATTCACTTCAATGTAAAGCCTACACTAAACTACAGCCATTATTTTTAAAAATCTTTGTAGGCTAAAAATATTTGTACAAACCATCAAGCTACTTCTCTGAAGAAAAAAAATACAGAAATTAGCTAGCGTCCAGAGAGACAGAAGAGTCTATCGTGTTTTTGTTAAGGCAATTACAGAGGGCGCAATCACATAAGGTAGCACAGAGCCGTAGATAGAGCATAGAGCTATTAAAAAACTAGAGTGCTGACAAGATGGCGAAGCAATGCAGAGTTATGTATGTGTACCATCCAAGATGGCCGTCGTATTATAGCGCCACCTTCAGGCTCTGTATACATATTTTTACATATTAATAAGCCCCCTGACTGACTATTATTTCATTAATGATTATGAGTAATGCTAATAACAAATTATTAAACTATCGTAGCCAAAACGAGGCCAAGGAGCATCTCATTCAAAAATAAAGTACCAAAGAAAGAAAATTAAAATCGTGTACATTACACCCAAACACCGCAACGCTCGAGTTTCAAACTAG